CTATTCTACACATTTCAGTGTGAGTACCGGCCTGGTTATGCCGTTATCACGTGTTAAAAACTGCTATGGAGCAAAAGTCTGCAATTTTATTTTTTTCAGCCGTTTGGTCACAACCAGACTCAAGCAGCCATCTTGGAAAATAACACGATTCTAAAGGCGAGAGAGGTGGATTTCCCCGCTAAACCTGCCGTTAGTAACGAGGCAAAGGTTGGTACAGTAGCAAAGAAGATTTAGATAGGAAACGAAGCAAGCGTTTTGTTGTTGGCGAGATGTCGGGCTTTTCGTTCATGTACCTGGGAACGAGGAGAGCTCGGACGAGTCCAAAAGGAGCGAAGAGATTGCCTTGGTGACGATTACTCGTTCCAATCGAAGATAACATTCCATAGAACATGTTAGTTTATTATACACCTCCCCAGCCCCACCCCCCTCCCATCCCAAGCCAGTTTTAATTTGATTTGGGAAATATGAAAGTAATCTACTGACCGATCAGTCACAAGAGATCGCCGCCGTCACGCTGTACACGACACAGCTTGAGAAATACTAAGCGGTCTTTATTCGTGTTCACCTTTCCGCAGAATTTCATACGCCGTTGCCTTGTCTACCGGAAGGAAGAGCGAGCAGATGTACTGACGTTGTGTGAAGATCCCTATCTTAAGCCACCAGTGAACAGAAAAAACACATCCACTGTTGTCAATTCCCAGACGTGACGTAACGCAATGTTAGCCTCGATGTAACGCAGTGGACGTAACGTTAAGTCGAGCGTGACGTAACGCAAGCAACGATCAGGCCATGTCAGGATTACTTCAATCCTTCGAGGAGTTGGGAGTTCAAAGAAGTAAAATCAGGCTACAAAATTGACGAACAGTTGCAGCATAAAGCATGGAGGTGAACAGGAAAATGTCCCCATGAAGGGCCACTAGTGAAACTGCAAAGCGCAGAAAGTCGTGATAGTACAGATTGGTCGATTCTGTTAATATATTTTAGAGCTAACCTTGCAAAATGGATGCCAAGGTTTTCGAGGTTTTTGTTTATCTCGACCATAGCGTTTATTTTTCTCTTGTAATGCCAGCCATGTTCAGTTTAGGTAAAAGAGTTACATGCTCAGATTAGCAAGTCTGAGTGTCGAATTACTTTCTGAAATTTTGATTGGTTAACAGTGACAGGGCTTGCTTTAGTACCTTGCTTCTGATTGGTCCGTTTTCTCAGAGTTGATTGAAATTGGATTTGGAAGTAAACTTGAAACACATCCCTTAGGAATTATCTTAATTTCAGGCGAACTAGTTAAGGACTAGTCCATTAGTCATATCTGTTATGTTCTTTAGATCGCTAAGAACCAACCTCGTTCTCAGGAACTTTTCCCTAAGAACATTGTTTCTGTCTTCTCCAACGACCTCCGTCCTATTTTCCGCTGTTGAGTTGAACGTTCCCGTTGAAGTCATTTAGTAGTAACTATAGTTAAAATTGAAGGTCATTAGTAACAGGGGATTTGT